GCACATGAGTGCAGATAGGAGCTCAGGTCAGGGACATCAATCCCCAAGGGAAAGGGAAAGATCGGCGTGAGCTTGGGCCCAGAGTTTACGTGGACAGTGGTGTAACGTGACCTGCACCGGGTTTTCAGTAGGGCTGATACAATGCGGAACCCTGGAGGAAGGGGGCATCTAGTTACTACAACTGGGGCACATGATCGGAAAAAAAAAAAGCAGTGAATTTAATTAGATATTGAACCATCTATCTCACAGAGAACAAGGTTCCTTACATTTCCTTAATGAAGGTCAAAATCACTGCTAAAGCCTAAGGCAGGGTTGATTCTGACATTAAATGATAAAGTCAAGTCAGGTGGAGAAAAAACATTTCTTTAGGGATTGGGGTCTAAGTAGGACTATCTCACACTGGAGGCCCTTGTTATACACACTGGTTATAACATAAAATAATGCAGTAGTATGTTTGTTTAACCCTGTTGGGGAAGACGTTATTTTTAATGCTTTCTCTACATAGCTCTCGTTCAGGCTAGACATAGTAGCAGGGTGTGGGAAGGTAAGCTGGGGGTTAGAAGAAAGAAGTAGCCATTTCTTGAAGCTTGCTTTTCTTTTTTTTGAGACAGAGTCGTACTCTGTCAGCCTCGGTAGAGTACTGTGGAGTCACAGCTCACAGCAACCTCTAGTTCTTGGGCTTAGGTGATTCTTTTGCCTCAGCCTCCCGAGTAGCTGGGACTACAGGCACCCGCCACAACGCTCAGCTATTTTTTTGTTGCAGTTTGGCCAGGGCTGGGTTCGAACCCATCACCCTTGGTATATGGGGCTGGCACCCTACTCACTGAGCCACAGGTGCAGCCCTCTTGATGTTTTCTGAGACCTCACCAGAGGAAGCAAATGTGAAAGGAGAGGAAGCTGGGCTGAACCTACTTGCGACTCCCAGAGTCCAGAGAGCCAGGAGCTGGAGCTTGACTGGGCCATGAGCACTGTCTAAGGGGAGTAAGATACTGCAAGGGGTACATCAGCCAAACCAGGAGGAAGCAGTGACACATGGTCCCAGTAGGGCAGGGTACCAGCGGGGGCAAGGGATAGCATCCAAGGATGAAGCTGTCCAGAGGAGGTGTGAGAGCTGTAAGGTAGAGCTCAGATCAGGCCACCATCCCCAGCATGACACATGTTTAGTAGGCCAGACTCTGCCAATACAGGAGATAAAGGAAACCACAACAGACTGAAGATACTCAGAACTCAGGGCTCATCCTCAGCACACCTAAACCAGACTGATCATAGCAAATCCCAGGCCCTAATCACTGGGTGTGTATGAAACTCTGAATATGCTTTCTGAAATGATTGGAATTCGCTCAGAAGTGGGCAGAGCCGAGCTGATAAGTACAAGGCAACAGTCTAACAGCACCTGAGGTGAGGATGCCAGGATGACGCTCAGATCCTCTGCAGAGAGTATCAGAGGTGACTCCACTAGACGGCAGTAGGAGCTGAGGCAGGAAACCTGGAGCCTGCAGCCAGGGCCACTGCTTCCAGATGTAAAGTGTTAAGATTAAGTGTTTGAAACACTTTTCATTGAGTTCATTTTAGACACTGAAAACAAAGATTAAAAAGAAACCAAGACAGACATGTGGCCTTAAGACAAAAAGACAAGAAGTGGCCTTGTGGCTCCCAGGTGCATGGTCCAGCCCAGTTCACCAAGACTCACTTCCCCATAGGAATTTTACTACACGTAGAAGCCCATGTGAGAAAGAGGTAGATGGAGCATCCTCTCTGCAGCTGGTTATTCTTTGTGACAACAGCAGATCAAGAAATTGGAGACTCAGGGTTGGTTGAAGCCAATCTTTTCCAGTTTGTCCATGGTGACCAGAGGAGGAAAGAGATGGACGGAAGGGTTATGGCTTTCCCTAGGCCATGTGCCTGGTCCTCTCAGAGCTCAGAACAGTTTCTAGAGCCTGAGTTTCCCCTTGATTTCTTTACCATAAGTCACTCTGAAAATCAAGAACACTACAATACAGGCTGCTTTTGCACTGGTTTCAGGGCTCCTTTAGAAACGGTTACCCATTGCCTGGTGAACAGTCACATCTCAAGTGCAATCATCCTAGGTGGCCACACTCAAGGTCAGGGGTTATGCTTTCTCTGTACACAGTTCTAGCAGCCTGCAAGGTCGTTGACTGGGACTTCTCTAATAATGGCTAAGTAATTTGAAATATTTGGATCCCACATTCCTTCAGATGCTATATGGCTTCTTTTTAAAAAGGATAAGTGAAACCTACTTCCATAGATCTTATGTTCTAAAATGTCAGAAAATTTTCACCAACATTTCCTGTCTATCATGCAGAATATTCAGACTCCCCATTGCTTCCACTTACTACGAGCAAGATCATTAGTGGACGGATAAAAATCATTTGCTATGAATGACGTCTCCTAATCTCCTCTTGTTATGAGGACACCAGTCATACTGGATGAGAATACCCCCTAATACACTAGTTTTAATTTAACCACCTCTTTAAAGGCCCCCATCTCCAAATGCAGTCACATTCCAAAGCACTGGGGGTAAGAACCTCAACATACGAACTTGGGGGAGACATCCTCAACCCATAATACATGTGTGAAGAGCTCGTGCTTTCACTATCATTTTATAGAGTGAGAAACTAAGACAGGGATGTCCAGTGGCTTGGGGCATGGATCATGCTACCTATTCCAACAGTTTATTTTCTTAACTCTAATATGACTGTAGGGACATCTCTCCAGCTCAGATTTTAGCACACAGAGGGTCTTCCCGAAAACCTTCTTTGGACTGCAGATTAGGTTTGCTAAAGTCACTCAAGAATGGAATTTATCTTCTCTGCAACTGGTTCTTCTGAAAGTGAATAATATCCCATAAAGGGTTCACTCTCTAGTACAAATATGGATGTGGATGTGGTAAAAAAAAAAAAAAAAAACTCTTCTACACACACTGTTGGTAGGAGTGTAAACTCTTACCACCTTTATGGAAAACAGTCAGGAGATTCTCAAAGAACTGAAAGTATACCTACCATTCAATCCAGCAATCCTACTACTGGCCATCTACCCAACAGAAAAGTCATTATATCAGAGACACCTGCACCCAAATGTTTATTCCAGCACAATTCACAACTGCAAAGATGTGGAGTCAATATAAGTTTCTATCAATGGATGAGTGGATTTAAAAAACGTGGTATAAACACACATACACAGAGGCACACACATAGCACACACACGGAGTACTACTCAGCCGTAAAAAGGAATGAATTAATGTCATTTGCAGCAGCTTGGATGGAACTGGAGACCATGATCCTAAGTGAAGAATCTCAGGAATGGAAAAACAAACACCACATGTTCTCGCTAATAAGGGGGAGCTCACTGATGAGCAGACGTGGTCATAAAAGAGTGTAAAGGACATTGGAAACTAAGAGGGGGGCCAGGAGGGCTGAGAGAAAAACACTTGACTATCAGGTACAATATACACTGGGCTGGGGACAGGCACGCTTAAAAGACCTGACTTCAGCATCATGCAACTCATGTCACAAGGAGACTGGTTTGAAATAGAAATCATTTTTAAAAACCTGCAAAACTTGGGAGGAAAAAAACTAAAATAGTTGTTTTTATCATGGCTAGAGTCAAAAATTAATGCTTAGGAAATTTTATAGATGGAAAAGTTAAATTCATGCCCCTCCAGTGAACATTTTGTTTTAATTTTATGAGAGAATACTCATTTGCAATTGACCCAGAGCTTTTATCCTTGACAACGCAATGGGGGTGGGGCTCAGGGACACGAAAAACAAGCTGTCCCTGGCCCCCACCCCATGGGCATGCTTCTTTTTTAAATAATGACTGTTTGTTTTGAAACTAATCTTGTTTCTAAACCAAAACTAAAGCTTTTGATCACAGCCTTGCACAGAAGGACTCACTCCGGTTTTTGTTTGTTTTTTGAAAAGGAGTGACTAAATGGCTTTTATGAGTTCTGCAGTTTGAACAAACTGCTCTACGGCCACCCACATGCTAGTCTTCAGCTCTTCTGAATGCCTTGCTATTTAAAACCAAACTGGTGATAGAAATTTCGCTGGGAGTCTCTGAAAGATAGGAGGGCTCTTTGGCAAATATTTCCAGGTTCCTCCCGGTGAGCACGTGGCGGGATTGCCTGCCAGGCCTCCTGCAGGTCTGGGCAATGACTTGAACTGGATTGATAACAGGGTTGAGACCCAAGAATGTTGTGCCGTCAATTAACAAGTCCATCTTGAGAGAACTCACACATGAGGAAGTTGTGAAAGGTAAATACATTCATTTTTATTTCTAATATAACAACCAGAAACTTCCTTATATACAGTGAGTGGTTTAAAAAGACATACACACACGGCACACGCGCCTGCAGGCTCACACAAACACTCAAATAGTAGTAACTTACAAGAATATTTTTCCTGTTTCACAAATGAGGAAATCAAAATCCCAGAAGCTCAGCTATGTTACTCAAGGTCTAAAATAGACTAAAACAAACAGCACGTTCGACAGTCCCCTTTCCTTTCTTCCCTTCCCCATCTTTAGGAAACTACCGTGACTTAACTGTTTCCAAAGTAGACGCAGAGCGGCTCCCTCTACCCCTGTCCTCCCCCTCACACCCCCAACCCTGCCCCTGAAACTGGATCGAACCCAGTCCCGCAAAGTGCCCAGCATCCCCGCAGAGCGGATGACCCAACCACAGGACCACAGAGTCAGCCTCCGCAGGAAAAGCAGACCAGGGAGGCCACAAAATGGCTTGGAGGATGATCCCTCATCGTGCCCAGGTGGGAGAAGCCAGCCTCTTGCAGGTCGTGGTAAACCCAAGGGTCCGTAGGTCCGCCTCCCGAGAGCCCAGGCACCAAACTCCATCTTCAGTTTTTCTTCCGCAGACGTTTTCACCCTGAGCAGACGAGTGACTCCTGACAGGAAGAGAAAATGTCCCCAGGACGCACGCTGTCCCTCCTCATCCCAGCCTGCCTTCCGCGGACGACTCCTCAGTACCCTCTCAGTCCAAGGACGTCCATGAGGATTGGGCAGCCTGGGCAAAATGTCACAGTAAGAACATTAATTGACAACTTAATCGAATCAGGCACTAAGCTGGGGCTTTTTAACGTGTTAGCTATTTAATCCTAAACCATCCCAGGAGGTGCCTAGTTCGTGCTGTTATTAACCCTGTTTAACAGGTGAGGAAATGAGGCCCAGAGGCGTTGAGTAACATCCCGAAGGTCACACAGTAGAAAGGCTATTCTCCCGGCTGCACTTGTGCCCTTGGCCTTCTCTGGGCTGCTCCCTCAGCCCCCCTCCTCCTCTGCTGTCGGAACTTGCTCTCTAGTCTAGAACAATGCCTCTGCTGCTCCGAAGTACGACTTTATACTGTAAACCGCGTTGCTTCCCTGCGGGGTATTTGCTCAAGCGGTCTCCTTTTCTTTTGTGGAATGAAGAACTCTGTGTCCTTTCAAGTGAATTTCAGGCATAGTCAAATAAGTGAAAGACGTTTTGGAGGAACCGAGAGCCTTCCTGGTACCCCTGAAATCAGCTTCTGGGCAAGTCGTACTCAAGGTGCGCCCTTCGCGTGGACAGCAGGGGGCGCTGTGCAGCTGTGGCCTCACACCGAATGCGTTGCCCTCTCTCCCCTGCTTTCCCAAATGGGAGCCCCCCCCCCCAAGTGAGAATCTATATGCCAGAAGCAAACTTCCTGGTTTCCATACCTCTGCAGTCCTCCTTCCTGTCCCTGGGCCCACCTGACAGACCTGTCTCCATCCTGTTTCTAGGAACCATCCTGACCTGAGGTTCCTGGAATATGAGGTTGGACACACATTAGGAGCCTCAGTCCTCATTGGCGTCCAGTTCTGATCTCCTGTCCCCCTTCTGGCCACTGGAATTGTGCCTACCTCCTGAGACTGATGAGCCTCCGAGGTTGTGTTCTGGTTAAAGGTTTGAAATACTAGCTTTTCTCCCATCGTTTAGCTCTGTCCTGGACAGCGACCTGCCTCATGCCAAACACCATGGGTGTGCCTGAGCTGTGGTCATGCCCTAAGCCCTCTGCCCGGAGCCCATTTTTCTGCCTCCAGAAGCCTCTGGTGCTCCCTACTGTCCATTCTGGACTTTAGAGGACATGGTCCTGTGAATTTGCACCCAGGGCTGTAGTGCTTGTTGAGGTCCCCAAAATGGTCTGCCCTGATCCCAGCTACAGTTATAGACCCCTCTGATGCCAGGTATATCCACATGTGAAAAGCACAGGCCCAAATTACTGAGAAAATTCAGTAGACACAGGGCCACTTGCAGAGAATATCCTGAAGGAAGGCACTCCTTGTCCCTCACCCACCTCATACCTCAAACATAGACTAAGTTGTAAAGGAGAGAATGATGTAGTGAGGACTTCACTGGAGAATTGTCAGTGTGTTTCCGTCTCCTCCCTAGACCTCCCCCTAACAGTGGCAGAGCCCTTTGTACCTCTCAGGTCTAGTAATAGTGTAATGCTGGATCTTGACTTCTACGGTTTCCTCCAGTTTTTACCACAGTCAACTAAGTGCACCCAACTAGCTGGGGGCAAAGCCTCCGCCACACTTCCCTTCTCGAATGGCTGGATACAATATTCCCAGGCAGCTCCTCTTCCATTTGAGGCAGTCTGATAATCCTAAAACAGGTGGTTGTCAAATCAGGACCTTCATAGAATGGCCAGCTGTGTTTCTAATAGGTCATCTGAATTAGTGACTTTCCATTAGTGACAAGTTCAGAAATGCCACAGGAATGTTCCACCAAGGATGAACTTTACAGAAAAGGAAATGGGCAGAGATTGGAAAGTTGACCTTTGTTCATGTTTTCCTATACAAATCCCCATGTGAGGATAGTTGATGAAGGATGATATGCCTGGATTCTCCCCCTCTTTGTTTCCCCAGCACCTCACACAGCCAGTCGGGGTATATGACAAAGCCCTCTTGGTCCTCGTCTCCCTGGGGCCATGTGCCAGTGTCCCACACCAGCACAGCATCAGGTGACCGGACCTGTAACACCGATGGTTCTTAAGTGTACGTCCAACTCAGAATGGCTTTGGTTCCAGGACATTCAACTACTTGCTTTGCCCCATTGCTCAACATATGGGCCATGGCCCAGAAACAGAAGAAATGTAAAGAAGAAAATTTAAAATGGGGCTACTGCCAACTGGAGATTAAAAATTTAAAAAAAAAAAAAAAGTCTGAGACTCATCTCCAGCCATGCAGCAGGCCAGGAAACCTCTCCAAGACAAAGCCATTGCCAAAGCTGATCATCCTCGCCCACTTTCCCCTAGTACCGCGCAGGCTCCTGGCTGTCATTCTGTTTGCCATTCTGTGTTATTTCTCCCCTTCCTGGCTGCCTAACATGTGTTTCCTGATGGTTTCACCTGTGTAGAAATAAGCCTCAGGGCTTGGCTGTGAGTAGGCAGCCAATTTGCCACAACCTCACCCACACACCTTAGGAATGATTCTGGGCTCCACTTCACTAGGAAGAGATAGGCCTGTTGCTCTGCGATTTCAATCAATCAATTCCCCCTTCTCAACAATGGGGCTATTATAAGTGTCACCACTCACTGACAAGCTACAATTAAGGTGTGTGAGTGCTGGAGACAGCAAGGGTGTATCCTGTCTCAGAGCAGGTGGAGGTGTGCTGACAGTATCCTCTCACTGAAGACAGAAAATCAAGCGTCCTTCAGACTTGGTCATGTAAATTGAAGTGACATAGGTTTTCAAGAAAATGTACATATTTTTGTGTATGTGCTGGGCAATAAAGAAGTTTCCATTCTCTGAAAGGTATGTCCTTCCTCCTTCCCACCTCCTTCCAGCATCATGCAGCAGGCAATGGTGTGCTCACAGGGAATACTGAGCGTGCTCACAGGGAATACTGAGCGTGCTCCCAGGGCATACTGAGTGTGCTCACAGGGAATACTGAGCGTGCTCCCAGGGCATACTGAGCGTGCTCACAGGGCATACTGAGCAGCTTCACACAACCTGCAGGTAAAGTTTCTCCTTCAGCTTTGAATACTCACAATTCATCCTCAACGATTCATGAATTAAGATCCATTGGGTGGGCTTAATGATGCATTCTAAATGAAGGGAAAAAATAACAGTGGTGATAAAGAGTAATGATATTGACAAGAAAGTAAATATACGTATATCCATTATATGTCTGTCTAGAGATAAACATATGAAAATGAGAGAAGTGGACACAACTACCCAGAATTTAATTATCATATGTTGCTGAATCTAACAGCATAAGCTACGTCCTTATCTTCATGTCCTGCTGAAAAATAAAAAAGTAAAATTTGTCAATTAAACCATGACACACTACTGATAGTAAGAAACATTCTAATTTCAGAAATGTTAAAAGTTGAAGAAAATGCCTATCTTAAGTTGGATAAACTATAGTCCTAAGAGTCACACTTAATATTAGCTAAACATAAATGGTAGTTCCCAATGGTTCCAGAAAGTTTTTTGTTTCTTTTTAAGGAAGCATCTTTTCATGAGAATCTGTTGTTTGAACAAATAGCTCCTAATTTGTACAACAAAGTTGGTGATTTTAGCTGGTGCCTTAAAAGACAGAGCCAGGTCCAAAGTCTTCAAGATCTATAAGTGCCTACATGCTCTAATCCAAAGAAGGGTGGTTGACAGGAGAGAGTGCTGAACAAAGAAAATAGGAAAGAGATTTTGATGCCTGTTAGTCCTGGTTGTACTTTTGCTCTTTATTGGTGGGGTGACCTCATGTGCAATCTATAAGTATTTGGGCTTTGATTCCCTTAAATCCTGTAATATGAGAAAGTGAGAGTGGAATCTCATTTCTATCTCATCTGTCATTTCCCAGCTCTTATATGAATCTGTGATCTTGGAATCATGTGATCCTTCTCAATGGGTTCAAATGTCTAGACCTGAAACACATTTGATGTGAAAAATTCCCTTGAAGGGTATATTTTGCTGGCCTGCAGTGTTAGCAGGACACTCCAAATGTATTACGTGAAGAAATGAATGAATTGATTCTCCTTGCTAACAAATCCTGAGTACTAAGCTACATATAATATTTATCTCTGCATAACTGGTGACTCTGACCGTCCAGTGTTGAGACCAAGAAGGAGAGGCTTACCTCTGCTGCCCTCGATTTCCCCTTTAGCGAAGCCATCTTCATCTTTAAAGCATCTCTTATCTAAAGAGACAAGGACAATGAGAAATACCTCAGATATCAGAGGAAACAAAATCACCAAGGCTGAGACTCTTGTCCTGAATCTTTGAGACCAGTAACCTGATAGAAGCAACATCAGATGGCTTAGCATAAAAGCCTGGCGAGTAGTAAGACTTGAGTAAAAGTCGAGCTGTGGTTATAACTAGATTTAGAATTAAGATTAAAGTTGTAGTCATGGGCTCAGCGCCTGTGGCTCAAGCAGCTAAGGCTCCAGCCACATACACCAGAGCTGGCAGTTTCGAATCCAGCCCAGGCCTGCCAAACAACAATGACAATTGCAACCAAAAAATAGCCAGGCATTGTGGCAGACGCCTGTGGTCCCAGCTACTTGGGAGGCTGAGGCAAGAGAATCGCTTACGCCCAGGAGTTGCAGGTTGCTGTGAGCTATGATGCTACAGCACTCTACCCAGGGCGACAGCTTGAAGCTCTGTCTCAAAAATAAAATAAAATAAAATAAGATAAATAAAATAAAATAAAATTGCAGTCATGGTTTCTATTCCTTTCACCAGCAATACTTGCACACAGCTCCCTATTAACATGATAAAGAGCTAGAAATGAAAGACTGTAATTCTCTCCTTTCCTCCTCACAGCCGATTCCTGAGCCATCCTCACCAACTCAGCTCCCCTGGACTGTGCTTTCTGATAAAACCCACTTCATCCTTCTGCTTCCCTCAGCCACATGGAAACCGTTTACAATGAGTGAAACAAATTCAATTTACCTTGTGATCTGAAATGGTTCCAAACAGCAAGATGAAAAAACCCTGCGGTAAAAGTCAACAGAATCGTGAGGGACAGCTTATCAAAGAATATCCCAGCTGTTATTTGAATACAACTCTTCTGGAGAACTTCTAGGGCAATTCTTGGACATTAGGAACTGTGGTTTCTACTGGGGCAGATAAAAATTCACTGATGGTATTTCCTCGGAGCCCACCTCCACCCTGGGAAAAGGACGGCCCTCATGGAAGTGTGCAGACGGCTGTTGACATTGATTTCATGGTAAAGATATAGGATAAAGTTTCAACCTTCATAAATCTCGTTCCAAATATTGCAGTAGCTGTTCTGACTCATGATGACAGCAACACTGGATACACAGAGTCAAAATCACAATCATGGAAGGGGTCTTAAGAAAATGTAATTTGTGTGGTTGTCTAAGTTGGAATTAAAAGTCAGCAAACAGACAACCAGGAAGCTGGAAAAAGAAGAAGTTTCTGCAGAAAAGAAAGAGAAGACTACAGAGACTTGTGATGTCAGGGTGTTTTCACGATCTAAGCATAGATTCAGGCGACAGAAACACTAATCAGATGACTAAATAATTTAAATGTAAATCACAGGGAAAATTTGCTGAGAAAAGAAAACATGTAAGTAAATGTGTTTGGATATTTTTCTGTCTTTCAAGAAAAAAGAAACACAAATGGTCTGAAAAAGAAATAGAAAGTGAAACTTCCTGGGGTTTAAGTCGCAAAGTGGCAAAGAGGATGAGGTCATTAGTCACCAGAGTGACTCGGAGAGGGAGGAAGAGTATCAGAACCCCATTTAAAAACCACTTAGCCAAAGGTTTCTCTGTAAAGCAATGCATCAGGAAGAGTAAAGTAAACGTACCCTATATCTATTGAAGAATTATGAGTAAGATAGGTTCCATTGATCTGAGGTCTCGTTTCTTTAAAGTCTATTTTATAGTTTACATGATGTTTTTTAAAAAAACAACAGTGACATGTTAAAAGGAATACATTGTTGCTTTATTAAGTGGTTATATTTTTATTATTTAAAGCAGTAGTTAGAAAAATTTTTCTGCAAAGGACAAAATAGCAAACATTTTAGGCTTTGTAGTTCATATGGTCTCTGTTCAACTACTCAAATTTGCCATTGTAGCTCAAAAGCAGGTAAAGGAATAACTAGAAACAAATAAGCACAGCCGGGTTCCTGTAAAATCCTGTTTACAAAAACAAGTAGCAGGCTGTAGTAGCCAACTCCTGATGAAAGCATAACTAAAGAATATGGACTCATAAAGTATAGAATACAGTCTGGTTAGTGATAGCTTCCCAAAAGTGCAAGCTTCGTAGCCAAGAGGGAGTGAAATAACTTGTAGACAGACAATCTTGCCGAGTCAAGTATAGAAGAGTTGGGAAAGACCCTAGAGACCAGTCCAGATCCATGCCTTTATTTTGTAGATGAGAAGGTTAAGGCCCAGAGAAAAGTGACAATCCCAAGATCAGGTACCGTATGGCAAGATCCAGCTCCACGAATAACAATTTAACATTTATTTCACAAGAAATAGTAGGCAAGAGGCATGAGAACTCCCTGTCTGGCTAACACTAAAGGGAAAGGCAGTAGCCGCATCTTCATATTACAGAAAATAGCTGTTATTTCACTGAGTTCCAAAAGACACTGAAGAAAGGATAAAAATCACGTTTGAGACATAACACATGAGTGTAGCCTCCCACATCTCTGACTAACGAGCAGTCCTCTATAAGTGAAGGTCAACAGTCACTGACATTGAAACTTTGGAAGGGATACAGGGAGATAAGTCAGAAAGGAAGGAAGGAGAGTCCCACCCAACCAGCATGATCAGCTAAATCTCCCTTATCAGTAGGGTGAGAGATGCCTCAGCCATTATCCCTGAGATACGGAAGGAAATGGAAAAAATATTTTGTGTTCCAGAGTTTTACATCATAGCCGTTTTCTGTTGTCTACACAGAATAACGAGCGACAGTCTCCCTTTGGGAACTTACCTGGAAAGCGTTGAGCAGGGCAAAGATGATATGGAACATCAAGGATGTGCCTTCGATGAGAGTGGCGATTCCAAACCCCCAGGTCAGTCCCAGCAGCGGGGTGAGAATGGCAATATTTTTGCTGATCCTCATGACAATGGCCACATCTTGAGACTTGGAACTGCCAATGGAAGGCCTCTGGGTGTTGACAGCAACAATCAGAACCACCACCAGATTCACAGCCACGATGACCAAGGCTGGGGCCGCAAACGCCAACAGGGCCTTGGTGTTGTCCCAGTTGAGCCAACAGGCCTCGGGTCTCAGGTAGCCTTTCTTGGGCTCTGTGATAGCAACCGTGATGACAGCAATGACCAGCGGACACCCATAGCCAGTGGCAAAGCCAAGGACCATCATTCGGGACTTCAGCATCCTACGGAAAACGACCAGTATTCCGTACGTGATGAGCAGAGCTTTGAAGAGCATCCAGAAAAACAGACAGAGGTAAAAGAAGTGGCAAAAGAACGTCACCGCGACACACCACTTGTGGTCCTGGGCCCTGACGTTAAAGTTAGAGCCGAGGATGAAGCACACGTTGGCGGTCAGGAGCGACACAGCTATGTTCACGATGCATACGTGACGCATGTACGCGATCTCCGTCACCACCACCCGGGACCACACTGTGGCTTCAATGAACAGGCAAAGGACCAAGCTGAGGATGGAGACGCTGAGGCCAATGCAGGTGATATACTCCAGGATTTTGTCCGTCACAGATTTGGGGGACATGAGAATGGAAAAAGACGTCACCACGTTGGTGTAGTTGCAGCGGCATTTCACCTTGTTCTTACTGCCCAGCACTGTTGTACACGCTTCCTTATCCCACCTCCTTTTCCCCGAGTGCCAGCCGGCGCACTGGGCCCTGGCACTGTGGGATCGATTGATCCTTTCAAAGGTGAGTAAGATTTCGTTCACTCTTTCTGGTAAAGCCAGTGATAGGACCAGACCATTTATGGGTCTGTGAAGACTCACGTTTTGCAAGGGGGCCTCCTTCAGAATGGCCCCCAGGGTTGGGAAAGCTATGCTAATGGCTTGAGAGGCGTTCGGCCTCAGTTTCCACAGCTCTTGCCTGGGAATTTCTACCATTCCTAAGATACCTTCTGTCGCATTGCTCATGCTCACAGAGAAATTGAAACTTCCCTGCGAGGTATTTTGGTGGATGTGGAACCCTTTTGTCTGGATGAAGCGCTCGTCCGCAATGTTCTCAAATTCATTGTGAATGTGGAGCTGCCTGGCAAACAAATTCACTGCCTGCAACAAATCGGAGCTGGCGCTTTCGTCCGGAATGAAAGCCCAGTTTGCGAGGGCTGCTGGGTCGAGGATATGGTTGGCCACGGAACTGTAGCTCTGCCGGGGAGAAAAGTGGACATTGTCCTAAGGATTTATACGTGATTGTACAAAGTCAGTTTCTAAAATCCGAGATTTCTAAAGATCAAATTAGCTGACCTATTTCTCTTTAAACTTCCTGTTTATTAGAATCCTATGTGGCTAAGGCTGCACAGAGGGAAGAAAAGTAGAAGAATGCAAAAAAAAGGGGGGGGGGGAAAGGCCCACACCAGCTTTATTATTGCACCCAGGGCAGCCTAACTGCAGTGTGTCAAACCTGAGTTTCCCGTGCAATATTAATGATTGCTTAATGGAGAGGAATGAAGGTAGATTCTACAGTAATCTAAGTTTGAGAAAGATCGCGTATCACCTCCTAGTATCCCCCTTCCTCTTATAAGCAATTCCAAATTTCCTTAGGCTGTTAAAGGCTCTGAAAAGTTCCACCGTATGGAAACTGGCTTAATTTTATAATTGACTACAACTGTTGTTCTACAGATCTTCCTTTAAGAAATGGAACCTCCATTAATGTTTTTCAGAACAGGTGTGTCCTACAGCATATAATTTTGGAAAGCCTATTGTAGATTCAGTCTTGTTCTTGAAAATATTAAATATGCAAAAAAAAAAAAAATATGGAGCCAAGAGGATCACTTGAGCTCAGGATTTCGAGACCAGCCTGAGCAGGAGCAAGACCCTATCTCTACTAAAAAAAGAAAAATCAGCCAGGTCTGGTGGCAGACACCGGTAGTAACAGTTACTTAGCTGGCTGTGGTAGCTGAGGATTGCTTGAGCCCAGGAGTTTGAGGTTGCTGTGAGCTAGGCTGATGCCATGGCACTCTAACCTGGATGGTAGAGTGAGACTCTCTTCTCCTCCGAAAAAATATATTTATGTATATTAAAAATATTCTAACTTCTTGAAAACTTCTATAAGCTAGAATGAATTAATATCCAAAAGTGAAATGCCTCCTGTTTTTACAGTGGTTGTATCTCTTCACCTGAAAAGTGCATTTGAAACCATTAAAAGTTCAAAATTTTCAAGTAAAACATTGTCAGTTTTTAACACAATTAAAGAATACCTTCATTTTTTCCCGGGTAACATTATCAGACAAGTCTATAGAAATATTTTTTAATAACTCCACTATAAATGCGATATTTCCAGACGTGGCTTCTGACGCTTTCACAACATCCACTATGCAGGCGTAATCGACAGGGCAGTGTTGGCGGATTCCTTGGGCTACACTCTCAATGCGCTCTGGAGCTCGAAAGTCGAGAACGCGCAGAGGTATCGATGCTGCTGCTACCGAAAGGCGAGCTTCGCTATTTGGATCCTGTTTAAAAAAAAAAAGATGTTTCATTCAAAAATGATTAAATACCAACCATGTGTCCGACCGGAAGAGCAAAAAACACAAACAATACCCATGGGGAAGAGAAATGGAGGGATCAGGTATGGTCCCAGATGGGCAGGGAGCCCAGCAAACTTCCCACAAAGATCAGGATAGTGACCTTTTCTAGTGGACGCTGCTTCAGGACAGTGATTTTTAACTCAAGTAGTATAGCAAGACAATTTTCTACAGAAATGTGGGGAAAGAAAAGCTCCGTGAAATGTCAGGGGAGAGTGGGTTTTGGAGGTTGGCAGATCAAACAGAGAACTGAATGCTCAGGAATTGCAATTTCAAAAAGTTAAGAGTTTCCCAACTGGAAGAGATTACTTGCTCATTTTCTGATACTTTTACCTACAATCCCTCAGAATGTGACTTTGAATAAGGCAAAGCAATAATTTATTTCATTTAATTCACTTTTGAATGCCACTATCGTTGCAAGGACATCTACATGATACCTAGGCTAAGTGTGAAGGAAAATAAAAAATCTCAACTCCTATGCAAAAGAGAAGGTCAAGGCTGGAGGCTGAGGGATTGCAACGCCCCCTTCCAAATGAATAGATGTTGTGACATTATGCGTTAGCGTCTACTAGGATCACCTCCCCAGATAATTCACGAGGAAATTCTTTGCAGGCCTTCCATAAACAGGGACATGCAGGTTGTAACTTTGGGTCTGTAGGTTAAGTCTAGCTCCTAAAACAAAGATTCCACATTAATAATCTTGATTATTTTCCCCAGTACAGAACAGAGACAGTATCAATCATTCTCTCACCTACCCAGGGACATTTACATAATTGAAAGTGTGTTTCCTGGGCACTAATTAAGTCTCATGAGAAAGTAACCATTTGCTTCACCACCTACCCCTCTCCTCCTTTTCCATTCTGTATGCCCTCTCCCCTTAAATATAGAGTTCCCAAACCCCTGTTCTGAAAAAACAGTCATAGATGCACCTATGTCTTATGTTTTGTTTTTTTTCTGGGTGCATCCTCAAACTGGCTTACTAAACCTCCATTGACTGAGAGTTTTGCCTCATTCGCTTATTTGGGGCTGTCATAAATGACAGAGACTGCATCTGCAATCCCTTTATAAAATCACTGTTAAAATTTTAGGAAACAGAGATCCGTGGCTTCCATGAGATTGGAGGGGAGGTAAAAGGAAATGGTTGCTAAGTGAAAGGACAGAAAAGAAGAGATTTCAATTTTAACTGGAATGTGTTATATTCATTCAATTTCTATTCCCTCTACATCAATCATACATCTCTTCTTTCTTTTGATCAAGGATTAAAAGTATTGGAAAGAGATAGCAAAACAAATTTCATTCCAGACACATTTAGCTGATTAATGGACTAGCACAAGATGCATGGACATCCACCTTTAAAGATAACACTTAACTGCTAATATAGTCATTTACACCATAGTATAAATGAGTTACAGTGGGTTTTTGTTTTGTTTTTTTTTTTAAGAAAAGATTTTTAGAAGGAGAAATAAAGAAAGCGGGGAGAAGAAGGAATGCACCTGAGAGTTTAAGAGAGGAAACAAGGATAAGAAACAAATTTAGCCTGCTTTGTAGATTTTCCTAAATCTGAGATGCATTATTCATGCTGAACAGATCACATTAAACATGGCTCTGCTACCCCCTTGGGGTTGGATCCTGTTGGCAATAATTTCCAAATGCATCACCTTAAAGAGTGTTTCCACAGAAAGGCTGGTACATGTTTCAGTTGATTTTTGCCACTTTTTTTTATTACATGAAAATCCTATTTCTCCATAAAACTGCTTAGCACAGGGTTGGCTGCAGATGGAAGAAGAGATGCAAGGTCCATGGCATTTTTCTGAAAAGGATAAATAGAGAGCAAGAGAGACTTAATTAGCATTTCTAAATTCTGAAACGTGCATCTCATTTATTCTGGGAATTCTGGGGCTGCTTCCCCTCCTCTTCCAGGAGGAAGTGACATTGAACTGGGTCCACAGCAATGAGTAAGAGCGGCCAAGTAGATGGGAGGCAAGCAGATGCAAGTAGATGGCATGCATGGAAGGTCATTCCAAAAGGCTAGTTCAGGCTCGGCGCCTATAGCTCAACCGGCTAAGGCGCCAGCCACGTACACCTAAGGTGGCGGGTTTGAATCCCCAGCCCGGACCCGCCAAACAACAATGACGGCTGCAACCAAAAAATGGCCGGGCGTTGTGGCGGGCGCCTGTGGTCCCAGCTACTTGGGAGGCGGAGGCAGGAGACTCGCTTGAGCCCAGGAGTTGGAGGTTGCTGTGAGCTGTAATGCCACGGCACTCTGCCCAGGGGGACAGCTTGAGGCTCTGTCTCAAAAAAAAAACAAACAAACAAACAAAAAAAAGGCTAGTTCAGAGCTCCTGAGAGTGGAAGTGGCAAGAGATAAGCGTGGGAAGGAAATCAGGGCTTAAGTCATTAAGGGCTGGAACGCTGTGCCAATGTGAGAATTACCAACAAAACACAATTAGGAGGTGCCTGTGGTTCAAAGGTGTAGAGCACTGGCCCCATATACCAGAGGTGGCGGGTTCAAACCCAGCCCTGGCCAAAAAAAAACCACGATTGAATTTATTTTTGAAAGATAATCGTCAATAGCATAGCACAGGAGTCAATAAACTTTTCTGTAAAAAAAAAACAAAAACCTAAGTTGGAAGCCCAGTTAAATATTAATTACATTCTGATACAAGTGAGTTTCATTATTCTCAGGAGTTACATTGTATAAACTCACCATGAACCCTAAATTAGCAAATACTGAACCGTTAGTCATATGGTAACGTAATGTTAGATTCCTATGAGCTTCTGCTCACGTTTTCATCAATTGATCAATATATGACCTTGTTTTAAGTGTATTTCTACTTAAAGTGACCTTAATACGTATTTTGATTCATTAACATTGAACTCATAAATAATAGCACTGTAACTCATGCCTGAATAAAGCATATCTAATATATATATGTGTATATATATATACATATTCTCCATAGAGCACATCACAGATTTCTTAGTCTCTTGGATAGCACTTCAGTACTATGTTTGGGGCCATTTTAAACAGCAAGAGCATCAATAAAAAGAACAAAAAGTCTAAAAAATAAAACCTGTGGCACTACAGAGACTGGGAAAAGCTGCTTTATAATACAAAAGTTTGGAACAAGAAAGCTGACACCACCTTGTCCAGCCTCAGCTGGGAACAAGTGCATCAGGCAATTTCCTCGTTTGCTGTTCTTCACATATCTGTGAATGACCCCAAAAACTGTGAGTATTGATTTAAAAATTACAAATTAATTTCAATGAGTAGGCAAATTCCCAAATTCAGAATCAGCAAATAGTAAAAGTCAACTGTAAATGCTCAGATAAACAGCAAATAATTTTTTAGTATATGTATGACCCATGCAATACTATTCATTATTTATCCGAAATTCCAATTTAACCTGGCATTCGACATTATTCTTTGCTGTTTGCAAAATACGGTAACCTTAGGCAGAGAGTAAATATTTTGAGCTTTACAGGCCATAGGGTCTCTGTGACAACTATTCAGTTCTGCATTTGTAGTGTGAAAGCAGCCGGAGACAATATGTCACTGAATGGGAATATCTGTGTTTCAATAAAACTTTATTTACAAAAATTAGTGCCAGGCCAACTTTGCCCTGTGAGTGAGAGTGGATTGACTTGAGACAGGGAATACAAGAATGAGGCTGTGGAAGTTTTCTCAGGAAGAATTGCTTTATGATAGTGGCTGAGGCAGGAGAAGGAGGTGATGATGCTAAAAGTGACTGGAGTGTGGAAATCAACAAAATGAGGTGACCCCTTGGCTGAGATCAAGGAGTGCACGGATGATTATGAGTTGGACAGCTCTGTGAATGATACCGTTCACCAGGAGAGGAAACAAGGGCTCGCATCTTCCCTTAACATCTACCAAGTACATTGATTTTTGCAAGTTAATGAACCAGAGTAGTTCCCAATTTCTTCATCTATATAGTTTGGAGATGATCCATAGTGTTTTACAAAAATTGAATGAGACAGCATCTTGGACAGCACGGAGATATGTGTTGTCATAAATGCCTGATAAATGTCAGCGACCTTTCTCTCCACTTTCCTTTCTAAATTCCACATCTATATACAAATATATTTTCCACCAAAGGCATGCCTAGCCAAGCTGGGCAGAGGCCAGTTATCCCTACTATTTGGGTGAGAAGCACATGATTTCACCGTGCTACTGCCATTAATTGCATCCTTACTTTACTTCTCACTTCTTGAGACGAACCAGTCCTATCACCAGTATACCCAGCCTACATTGCTTGTATCGGCCGCTCAGCACCAGAACATGGCATACTGAAAATACCTTTGAATATAGAAATAAGAGATTCTTGTCCTCTTTGCTTTTCTGCCTCCTGTTATTTCATTAGTTTGGACAGATTTTCATTTTAAGTTTGAAAATGGACACTTACCTACGGTGAATATTGGCCAGCTGCTTTCATTGACAATGGGGTAATTGTAAGAAAAATCTATCAGTGCTGGGCAGCATGGAGAACCAGTAGAGATTGTTACTCAGCGGGAAAGCCTGTGGTCTGGGGACCTTCTTTCAACATCAGTGCCCTTCCTTTATTCTGCCCTGTCTCCAGAGGGACAAAGACCACTCTGTAGCTACATACCTTGCATCTTTCCAGGCTTGGGTTTCCCTTCAGAACTTTGAAGTTTATTTCCAGCCTGAAAAACATAAATTCCCAAAGGGCCTTGTTACTGTGGGACTCTCCTCCCTCACCCCACCTGCCTGTGACTATGAAGAGAAGATGTGGTCAGGACTAGGAAGAAAACTTGAGCAGATGCAGATGCTGGTAGTGCAGGCACTTGTTGAAGACAACACGGGGAGAGCAGAGAATGCTCTGAAGCATTCAGAGGTGACGGCAAGAGCCCCGTCGGTGGCCACTTGGGCTCCCAAGGTAAATCTGGTGGATCTGGTACATCTTTTGAAGTTTAAGTGTCCAAGGAGGACACAGATGACAATTACGACTGAGCTGCTCTCTGGCTGTATTAACTGTCAACATGAAATGGAGCTAATGTGGCCACCAGGTCCTGCCTATCCTCAGAAGGAAGCAATGAGCAGAGACTGAGAATAAACTCTAGGCTGCAATCATAGAATCACAAAGGACTGTAAATATTAAAAAAGTTTTTAAAACTTTAAACTCCATATAAGGAAATGAAGATTCAGAAAAGTGAGACAACTTGTGTGACTCCTGAGAAGTTAAGCGCTGAGCCTCCGCTGCCCGGCTCGAGGTAGGACTTCAGTTAAGGGCTGAGCCTCCACTGCCTGGCTCGAGGTACGACTTCTTGCAACAGCTGCCGGTCTGCGTTTTTTGTGGCTTCCACGGCGATTATTCTCCTGTACTATTCTTCCCAGAAGGTCCCTGTCATCTCTCCCCTTTTCTTTGTTCCCTTCTTTAAAAATTTACTATCGGCAAGAGTGAACTTGTAACTATTTGAAAATGTATTTACAAAGACATGTTATTTATCAGAAATCGAGGCTTCTGAGGGGAAATGAGGGATTTCTCTCGGGAACACATAGGAATGGATCAAACTTACTTTTATGTAAATCTTGGATTTATAATGGGAACATTCTGTGGCCAGATATAACATTAAACAGTAAATCATGGTTGCCTGGGACTTCATTGTCACATTGGGATCTTCGCCTGCAATGGAAACAGAAGGTGGATCTGACTAACGGTGGCAACGTCAGGCAAACGACACAGCACTCAGCAGGCTGCCCAGCCACCGAGTGAGCCCGGGGATACCCTGAGATATTCAGTCCAAGTCAACCCGCCCCAGGAAAGGACATCAATACCTACTTCCAAATCAGCTAAAAGGTGAAAAAGGAAAGGCTTTGTCTTCACTGTTGACTGTTCTACAGCAGAAGGCAGGAATGAGGGGAATATCAGGAAAGGTTTATCTTCATCAGAGCGTCACTCCTTATTATCCCATCCCCAGGTTTCTTCAATAGTAACATTTATCAAGAATTTCTACTGCCAGTAACTATTCTAAGCACTTATTTTTCAGAAACTCATTTAATTCTATCATGTATGTATCAATGGGAAAACTGAAGCACAAGGAGTTGAGAGACCCTGAGCGTGAGGTCACTCAGATAAATAGTGGGGGAGCCCAGAGTCCAACCCAGATGGCCCACCTGGCAGCGTTCTTAACGTCCACAGCAGGGTCTGTCGTTGATGATGCTGTTGACATTTGGGGCTGGACAATTCTTTGTTTTGGGGAGACTGTCTTATGAATTGTAGGATACTCAGCAATACCCCTGGCCTCTTTCCCCAATAAATGCCAGTAGCTCTCCTTTCCCCTCTGGCTACATTTTGATAGCTAAAAACATCTCTAGCTGTTGGCAAATGTGCCCAGGAAGAGAAAATCTCCCCAGTTAAGAACAACTGTCCTGCAGTGTACTATTTCTCTGGGCACATGGAGTAACTTAAAGTGGAATTAATATACTAACTGTCTGCTGTTGGGACAAGGACCAAGACCCGCTCCTAGAGATGGGTGAACTGCTGCAGGAAGAAACCGGGGAGCACGGGAAGATAACTCTTTGTTCTTCTACCATATCTTTATTTCTTGCCTTTTTCTTGAGAATTCTACCTTCCCAAGCCAAGTCTCCCAGACCATATCATTGTATCAGGTGAGATTTATCAACAGCATCATGATTATTGCCATTATATTTTCATAGAGGATGGTGGTGATTGAGACCCTGAATTGGTAACAAAGTTCCTCAGCTTGGTTTTCTTCAAAATGCAAATACAACAAAATGAAAATGCCATGGATTTTAGAGTTAGCAAGAGTTAGAGCAGTGTTTCTCGACCTTGTTTATCTCCCGGCAAACTAGAACCCATAGTTGAAATTCTGTGGCACACTCAAATTATGTTGATCAAAAAAAAGAGGGGTGGCTCCTGTGGCTCAAAGGAGTAAGGCGCCAGCCCCATATGCCGGAGGTGGTAGGTTCAAACCCA